CTTGCCCTACACATCTCTTCCAACTGGATGTTCATCTATATCCCTTATCATATCCTTTAAAAAAATTTTTTTTTTTTAGCCCAGAGGCGTGGCTCAGTGGTTGAGCATTGACCCATGCACCAAGAGGTCACAGGTTTGAATCCTGGTCAGGGCACATGCCCAGGTTGTGGATTCAATCTGATCAATGGTGGTGCTTATCTCTCATTAATGTTTCTCTCTCTCCCTCTCTCAAATTAATAAAAAACATACTGCCCTGGCCGGTTTGGCTCAGCGGTTAGAGTGTTGGCCTGTGGTCCAGAGAGACCCAGGTTCGGTTCCCGCTAAGGGCATGTACCTTGGTTGCAGTTTGTCCCCGGCCCTGGTTGGGTCGTGCGGGTGGCAGCCACTCGATGTGTCCCTTTCACATCGATGTTTCTTTCTCTCTCTCTCCCTCCCCACTCTATCTGAATGAAAAATGTCCTCGGGTGAGGATAAAAAAATAAATAATTAAAAAAATAAAAAACATATTTAAAAAATAAATTAAAATTATTTTTTATTTTTCAATTACAGTTGACATACAATATTATATTAGTTTCAGGTATACACCCCAGTGATTAGACACTATATAACTTATTAAGTGATCATCCCAATAAATCTTTTTTTTAAAATCCTCACTCAAGGATATTCTTTCATTGCTTTTTTAGAGAGAGTGGGAGAGAAAGATCAATGTAAGAGAGACACATTGATTTAGTTGCCTCCCACATGACCCCATCCAGGGCTGGGGAAGGAACCTGCAACCCAGGTATGTGCCCCTGACCAGAACTGAACCTGTGAACCAAAAGCTCTAACCAGCCAAGACCTGATAGATCTTGTACCCATCTGACATCACACAGTTATTAGAATATTATTGACTATATTCCCTATGCTGTACATTACATCCCCACGACTATTCTGTAACAACCAATTTGTACTTAATCTCTTCACCTTTTACACCCATCCCTCAAACCCTCCTCCCCATCCAGCAACCATCAAAATATTCTCTGTATCAATGAGTCTGTTTCTGTTGTGCTTATTTTGTTTTCTAGATTCAACTGTTGATGTGTATTTATTGCCATTTTATTGGTCATATTTTTTATCTTTTTTTTCTTTTTCTTAAAGAAGACCCTATAAATTTTCATGGAATACTGGTTTGGTGGAGGTGAACTCCTTTAGCCTTTTGTCTGGAAAGCTCTTTATATGTCCTTCAATTCTAAATGATAGCTTTACTGAGTAATCTTGATTGTAGGCCCTTGCTTTTCATCACTTTAATTTTGCCAACCCCTTATGGCCTGCAAAGTTTCAGTTGAGAAATCAGCTGACAGTCTTATGGGAGCTCCCTTGTAGGTAACTAATTGCTTTTCTCTTGCTGCTTTTAAGATTATCTCTCTCTCTCTCTCTCTTTTTTTAAATCCTCACCTGAGGATATTTTTCCATTTATTTTCAGATAGAGTGGGAGGGAAGGGGAGATGTAGAAAGAGAAGGAGAGAGAGAGAGAGAGAGCGCGCGCGCGCGCGCAACACTGATGTGAGAGAGACACATATACTGGTTGCCTCCTGCACGACCCTGACCATGGCCGGGGACTGAACCGCAACTGAGGTACTTGCCCTTCACCAGAATTGAACCACGGGCCAACACTCTTAACTGCTGAGCCAAAGTGGTCAGGGCCAAATAGGTTTTCAATTTTTTGCTCTCTCTCTTCTTCTGGCACCCCCATAATGCAAATGTTGGTACGCTTCAGTTGTCCCAGAACTCCTTAAACTAGCCTCATTTTTTGGATTTTTTTCCTTTTAGCTGTTTTGAGTGGGCGTTTTTTGCTTCCTTATGTTCCAAATCACTGTTTTGATTCTCAGCTTCATGTACTCTACTGTTGATTCCTGCAAATTATCCTTCATTTCAGTTAGTGTATCCTTCATTTCTGACTGGTTCTTTTTATGGTTCTCATGAGGTTTTTTATGCTATTGAAGTTCTCACTAAATTAATCTACTCTTCCCCTAAGTTCACTGAGCATCCTTATAACCAGTGTTTTGAACTCTGTATCTAACCGATTGCTTGTCTCCATTTTGTTTAGTTCTTTTTCTGGAAATTTTGTTCTGTTCTTTCATATGGTACATATTTCCTTGTCTTCTCATTTTGGCAGCCCCCCTGTGTTTGTTTCTATGTATTAGGTAGAGCTGCTATGTCTCCAAGGCTTGGTAGAGTGGCCTAATGTAGTAGGTGTCCTGTAGGACCCAGTAGCAAGGCCTCCCTATTCACCCAAGCTGGGTATTACAGGTGTACCCCAGTGTGGGCTTTGTACACCTTCCTGTTGTAGTTGAGCCCTGATTGCTGTTGGCACATCAATGGGAGGAATTTACCCCCAAGCCGATAGACTGCAATGACTGGCTGCGACCATCAAAGAGGATCAGCTGTGCAGGGGCTCAGCCCATTGAGCAGTACTTACTTCAGTGGGACTCTGATGCTCACTCTGTCTGCTTATAAATGTGGTTGGGTGGTGCTTTGACGTGGTCTGAAGCTGTCCACCAGGTGCACTGGCTTTGGGGCCTCCTGGGAGGTGCAGGCCAAGGTCAGCTGCCACCTGTGTTCTTTCAGGAACCACCCAACATGAGTTACAAAGTGATCTGCAGATGGCTGTTACTTGTGCTGGGCTTGAAGGTGCCCAGTTGAGACCAAGCTGTGAACCAAGACTGACTGCCTCTAGTGCCAAGCCTGGGGCTGCCTGGCAAGAGGTATGGGACACACAGAGGCCAGATACTGCTTGTTTGAGAGATTTTAGGAAAGTCTGAAACATGAGCCAAGACAGGCCATTGGTATAAAAAAGCCATTGGAAACAGCTTGGGTGTTGGGGCAGGGTCTCAGGGAATCACGGGATGAAGAGGAAGGGAAACAATGATATCCAGGTTGATGGAGACTCAGATATGGTTCTATTGTGGGAGGGCTCAGAAAAGGAACAGAAGCCTCTGCAAGCACTTCTGTCTGGGATAAAGCTGCCCCTCCAGTTTTTTCCCTAATGTCAGACAATTCAGTTCCTCCTGGTATGTCTATTGTTGTCCCAGTGCTGGAGCTCAGAGCGAGTGAGTACCAGTAAGTCTGTGCATTGGCCCTTTAAGAGGAACTGCCTGGGACTCCAGAAGCCCTCCATCTCCCTCAGCCACAATCCCCAATGGATTTTATAGCCAGAAGTTATGGGGACTTCTTTTCCTGGCACTAGAACCCTGGGCTGGGAGGCCTGATGTGGGGGTGAGACCTCCTGCTCCTCAGGGGGACCTCTACAGCCAAGATATCCCTCCCAACTTTTATCCACCAAACATGGGTGTGGGGCCAGCTCATTCCATATCTCTGGCCCTCATACCAGTTTCCCCTCCTACCAGTTTCAATGTGGCTTCTGTATATCTTTAGTTGCAGGACTTCCATTTAGATAGATTTCAGGCACTTATGAATGATGGTTGTTCTGTAGTTTAGCTGTAATTTTGATGTGGTTGTGGTAGGAGGCGAGTATCTTGTTTACCTATGCTGCCACCTTGACCAGAAGCCCTCCTATACTTTTATAATAAACTGGTAAATGTAAGTCAATGTTCTGTGAGTCACTCTAGCTAATTCATTGAAACCAAAGGGGATGGAGCTCCAGGGAACCTTTGATTTATAGCCAGTTGGTCAGAACAACAAATAACAACCTGGATTTACAACTGTACCAGAAGTCCAAGGAGGGGTCCTTGGCACCTCCAATCTGAAGCACAGGTGTTAACCTGGGCTCACTATTGGAGTCCGAAGTGGAGTGTGCTCTTATGGGACTGAGCCCTTTACCTGTGGGATCTGATGCTATCTCCAGGTGGATAGGTAGTGTCAGAATTGTAGGACACCCAGCTGGTGCCCCCAGCATTGCTTGGTGGTGTGGGGGTAACCCTCTCCACATGCAGGAATTAATCTCAGAACCATTTTAATATACTTCCTTCTAAGAGTTATCTTCAAAATCCTTCCAATCAGAGCAGTGTAAAATGGTGTCTTAAGATATTTTATACCTCTTAATTCTTAACTGTCTGCATTAGAATTTCTCTCACCTCATAGGCTTTTTTTCTTCTTTTTTTTCCCCTCACCCAAGGACATTTTTGCATTTATCTTCAGATAGAAGGGGAGGGAGAGAGGGAGGGAGAGAGAGAAGGAGGAAGAGAGAGAGGGAGGGAAAGAGAGAGAAACATCGATGTGAGAGAGACACATCGACTGGTTGCCACCCACACGACCCCAACCGGGGCCGGGGACAAACTGCAACCAAGGTCTGTGCCCTTAGCGGGAACCGAATCCGGGTCTCTCTGGTCCACCGGGTGACACTCTAACCACTGAGCCAAACTGGCCAGGGCTCACCTCATAGTCTTTACTTTCACTGTATTCCAGGGTACTTATATATCTACACTTTAGGTACTTTCTGAGCTGGTACACTAAATCACCTCCCTTAGTGTTCACGCTTTTCAAAAATTTAAAGCAGAAAGAAAATATTCCTCAGAATACCGATACAAAAACTGGATTAAAAAGGAAGTAGATGGTTTGCTCTGATGGAAAGCGGTGGGGAAGGGAAGGAGCTAGGTGCAGTAAGCTCAGTGCTGCCCTCCTCTCCATGCCCTGAGTCATTAGATGTATTTCAGAATCTTCACTAAATTCCCACGGTCCTGGACCTTCAAATCACAAAGGGCCTATTCCCCCAGAAATTTGTCTAGGTTCTGGAGCAGACCTATTGCCACAATTCAGGTGAACTTCACAGAACTAACTTCAAGTCCTTAGCAATTACTCTGCCATAATCTAATCTCTGGCAGCATACAGAAGTGGTTGTCTCTGAGGAAGACAACTGGGTGCTTAGGGGAGACCATATATTTTCAAATCTTTAAATTGTGCACCATGTATTACTTATGCAAAAAAAATAAATAAATAAAAAGGCAATTTAAAAACAAATAGAAATTCAATGAAAGTCTTTAGGTATTTATAGATTCCTGTACCTTGTTGTCCATAATTGTCCACTGGCCCTCCGTGTTCTGCTTCAAAACACAGTGGTTTCGGGAAATCATCAGAGGGCAGATTTTTGATACCAGTTGGTATGTGACACCAAATCCTCGCCCTAAAGTCACCTAGGAAGACAACAACAATGTAAGAGACACCATCAGCCATTGTGCTGAAAAGGGAGGTCCTTTAGACAATCTTGTCCACCCGTGGTGTACACATGTCCTAACTTATGAAACCAGACTCCCATGGAACCCACAGAGCTCATAGGCTATCTTCTCCGTTAGCTGCCATGGGAGCCACCAGATAGAAAAAGGTAAGAAGTTGTGACAAGAAGAGACAGCTGAGTCGATTTACTCATGGGATGTCAGGGTGGTAGGACCCTGAAAAGTAATGAGATGGAGGAATTCTTTCTGCATACCCTCACACTGCCAAGAACTACAGCCTCTATGCAAGACAGTCTGTCCTGTTTTTTAATGGCTCTGACTTGGCATCTTTCTCACTATCAATTCCATCCATTAGCCCTGGTTCTGTCATGGGCACCATCATAAAAATCTCCAATTCCCCTTCCACATGACAGCTATAGTGTTTACCAAGTCTTCTCTTTTATTGGCCCCATGTTCCCAGTTACTTCAACCTAACTCTCATGGCACAGGCTTGAGTCTCTTTGCTATCCTATTGGGTCTGTGAACAGACTCCTGGTTCATTTTTATTCCTGGATGCCATATTAAGAAAAATAAACTTAATTTTTATTACACTTCTGAATCCAAATATCACTTTTTCAGTTCTAAATATTATGACTAGAGCATATAAATTGCATTAGCTTTCATAGCAGATCTATCACACACAATGTACCCTCAGGCTTAGGAATGATTAAATTTCTTGGTCTGACCCTCCTCCTAGAATTTCTATGCTAAGTCATGTCTCTTCTGTCCTGTACTTGATTAGTTAGTAAATTTGGATTCGAGTGCAGGACCTTACATTGATTCCTATTAAACTTCATCTTGTTAGTTCAGCCTATCACATGAGCTTGTCAAGACCTTTATGAATTTTTAATCTGTCATCAGGCATACTCAATATTCCTCCCACCAAACTAAAGATTCAGGACACAGACATAAGATTGAAAGAGGATGTAGCCAAAGACAAAGCTCTCAGGAATGCCTAGTAAACATTCTACCACACATTCTGGATATACCCTTCAACCAGTTGTAATTCAACCAAAGTCTGCATCAAGTTCATATTTTCTATCTTATTCACAAGGACAGCATGAAAGCCCCTGGAAAAGGTTGCAAAGGAGCCCCAAGTCACATGTATCATACTTTCCTGATGGACCAGTCTAGTTCATAATACCCCCGTCAAGAAAGAAGATGAAATTTTTCTGAGATCCAGATCTTGGAATTCCCTGCTTCTTCTTGGTGCATAAGCCACCTCTTTAATGACCCACACTACACCCTTACTTGGGAACATTATGCCAGATGATGTGCGGTTTTCTAAAAGCTGTCCTCTTTGCTCCTTTTGAAAATCTTTCAGGACCATGCCTATCCTTCTCAGTCCCTCAAAGACCACATGATTCACCTTGCTCCATCTATCCTTCCCCATAGACTTTCATCTCAGTAACTGACACTATCATCCAACCATGCTTAGCCCAAACTCAGGAGCCATCTTTGATTCTTTTCTGTCCCTGATCCCCTCATTTAAATCATCAGAAAATTCTACTGGCTGTAATTAAGTATGTCCTATATCTCTACAGCCACTACCTTAGTCGAAACAACCTGGCTTCCTCCAGTTATGCTGTTTTTGCTCTTACTTATCTTTCAAGTTTCAGCTCCTCAGAGGCCTACCCTGATTATCGTACCTGAAGCTGCTACCTGATCCCTACTCCACTGCATTCCTTTATGTTGTTAGCATGCACTTATCACAATTGAAAACTAACTTGTTTTTTTTTTTTTATTCTTATTAGAATATAAATTTCATGACAGGGTCCTTGTCTGTCTTGTGTGTCACTGTATTTCTGTTTCTGGCATGGTGCTCAGTAAATGTCTGCTAGTGAACGTACGAATAAAGAGGTCTTGCTTATGCATCCTCCTAGATTCTTAGATGAGTTTTTTAGGTCAGACACTGGAAACTGGGTTATTACCACTGGAAACTATAGAGCAAGCAGCCAGGACTTCTTAAAATCTGGCTTGTTCCCCTTTAAAATTTTGTGGTAACCACCTCTACCAAAACCCTAAGTCCAAAGTTTTTCTGTTCTTTGACAGTTTGCTAGAAATTCCATTAACTATAGATATAGATATTATATATATCTATATCTATATATCCTTTAAAAATGGAATATTTACGGATTTGTCTGTCATTCATATTCAGTAAGAATTTCTATTTAGGTAACTAGCTTTATTTCTAATAAAGGAAGTATTCCATATCCCACTTTAATACTTTGAGGGAAGAGAGCCAGATTGCCACTATGAGTAGTCTGGAAAAAGTAATACAGAAAAGGGAGATGAGAGCCCTTTTCTGAAATTGCCTCCTACAGACTCTGGATCTAGAAAAGGAAGGGAATACTCTTTTTTGTCCTTCCCTTCACTATCTGGTCCTAAAATTCACATTAGTAAACCATGGCTCAACAGTCTGCAGTGAGCTTATCTGCATTATTTGTTAACACAAAGCTAAATTTCCCATGGGAACTGAGTGCCAACAAACCACCAACTTATATGTTGGATTGTTTCCATTTGCTGTACAACAATTTTTCGAGGCTTTGAGCCTACTGACATCATTGGTCTATAAGATCATCTTGTCCTTACCTTCACTAATTCTATCCCTTTCCTCCTGGGAATAACTCCTGCTGTTTCCCAGATAACCAGCAAATATTCTAGAATCATCCTTTCCCTTTTCCAACCCTTTTAGTGCAGAAAGTTTTGTGAAAACACAAGAGAAGAAAAAGGGAAAAATGATCATACTATGGTTTTTTTCAAGGCCTATACACTAACAGGATCAGGAAACTAGTTAATTTGCAATAAACCTATTTTGTTTTTCCAGAAAACTCTGGCTTAAGAAATTTAAAGACATACATTCAGGCATACAATTTACTGTAGTACTGCCTACAGTGAAATGAGAGGAACACCTTGTTTTATCATTTTATCTGTGAAATCTGAGACTGTGACGTGAACTAGGAAGGCAGGAAACTGACCTTACACTGCTATTATAATTAAATGAAATCAGCATACCTCTTACAAGCATGTTCTCATCAGCTCATGCTATGGTTTGGGACCATTACAATAAGTAAGACCTCATCGCTGGGCTTTGACTCCACTCGGGCCACTCCATACATACTGCCCTCTATACTTCAACTACTTCCTAAGGACTCCCCCCGGCCCCACCCCTTGCATATTGCCAGGCTAGCAGGCCTCTGGGCTACTCTGAGACAAGCCAATCCTCCCATGTGTCTTCACTCTGGTTTCTGTGGGTCTCTCCTCAGAGAGGAGACCCCACACAAAGTCATCCAACAGTTTAAACTATGTATAGGAATGATTTTTAGTCCTCTTGCAATGGCTGCCTGTGTTTTAATTCTTTCTGTCCTCCCCTCCTGCTACCAAGACTCCCAGTGTTACCAAGCTATTCAGAATAATCCACAGCAATTTAATCTGAAGAATGAGTTAACACTTGACCTGTAAGTACTTAACAGAGTTGTGTGTGGGAATATAGCACATGAGTAGGGCTCAGATTAGGTAATTATTCAAAAGCCCAAACTCTAAACAAAATATAGTTACTACTGTTCAGGTGTTAGTATCTTCATCTGTGAAATTTCCCAAAGGTGTACGATTTTGGAAAGGGCAGTGCAGGTAAAGGGAAATGCTCATTCTCTAAAAGAATGAATGCTTAATGTGGACTTTTAGGCACTGACACCTGGAGAGACAAAGAGATTTGGGGTGGGAGATGTCTTCCAGATGTTGTTCAAATCACAGCAGAAAAATCTTTTATTCAAAGAAAATCTCCCTCCAAATCTAGCAACGTTTTAAGGCTGGACCCTCCTCTGATTTGAGGAGCCACTGCTCCAAGATAGCACTAAAATAATCCACATCCTGACACTTGATCATACAGCCTGCCTGGATGTTCTCAGGCCGCTTCGCTGTGTATAAAATCCTCTTTCCCCATTCCAGCCACAGACTCTGAGGCAGAAGCCATTATTATCTGGCTCCCTTGTCAGTACACTAAACGACGTAAAAACTCAGTAAATACCTGGAAGGCTGAATTGAGACTATATAGTTTATCGGAAAATCTAACTAGACACACACACATAGTAATGAAAGACTTCTTTGTCTTTCACACAAATTATTTCCCAAACCCAAACGGTTCCGTCACCACCAGCTGTCGGCGATCCAGCTCTCCGCAGGCCGACTGCGCTCCCACCCCTCCCGCCTCCCTCTTCGTCCCCCTCCTTGCGAACACCACCCCGTTCCAAACGGCCTCCCAAACTGCCTCCCCTTTGCTCTAGGATTTGGGGGGAGGGGGGGCATTGATGACCGCACTGGAGAACAACATCAACAGCCTATGTTTCTGAATCCCGACCCCGACCCAGCTCAGGGGGCGCCACTCGGCAGTCGCGAGACTCAGCCGAAATGTGGCCCACCCCACGGCGCCCATTTTCCTCAGGAGCTGGGAAAGAAGGCATTTTTACATTAAAGTTGGAGTATTTTGACTCCAAATTCGCAAAGGTTTTCAAAATAAACTCGAGAAAGTTCACGCTCTTCGCGCAAGTTGGGCTCACAGGGCCGCCGCCCGCGCCTGGGGCTGCCGGGTCCCCGCTCCAACCACCACCTCCTTCCCCTCGAAACGCAGCGGGTCCTCACGTCCTCGACCCCCACCTCCACCCGGCTCCTCCCCGCACCTCGGATCCGCACTCGCCCTCGGGCCCACCGGTTCTCCCACGGTCCCGCCTTCCGCCAACCCCCGAGCCCCCGCCCAACCGCTCGCACCAGAACCCTTCTCCCTTCGCTCTCCGGGCCCTTCACATCGCCCTCTTCCCGCTCGCACCGCTTTTCCATTTACCCCTCGGGCCCGGCGCCTCGGCTCCCTCCAGGCCCGGCTTCCTCTAACCCGCTTCCCGCGAGGCCTCCCGCTCACCTCGTCTCCACCCTGCAGCAGCAGCCACTCGGCGTCCATCCCCACGCGTCGCAGGCACCAGCTCCGGCCACCGAGGCGCTCCCGCGTACCCAAGGAGCCGGGCTCCCCCATAGCACACTCCGCCAGGGGTCGCGGTCAGCACAGAGCGCGACCCCGACCCGGGTTCCCGCCGCCTCTGCGCTTCTTTGACAACATAACTACACAACAGACAGAAGCAATCGCTACGCGCTAGCGATCCACACGAACTCTCGCTCGGGCTCCGCGCCCAGCTCGCCCCGGCCAGCCAGCGGAGTCACTGCGCCTGCGCGAGGAAAGCCAGCTCTCGCCGGTGCGCGCGTCTCTGGCCACAGGTCGGGCGGGGGTGTGGCCGGGCCAATCCAGCTCTCGCGTCACACGCTCCTCGTCGCGTCGTTTTCGTCACACCCTCCTCGTCGCGTCGTTTTCGTCACACCCTCCTCGTCGCGTCGTTTTCGCCGCACCCTCCTCGCCCATTCTAGAACCATCCTCTCAGTCCTGGCCGCCTTTTCCTTTCCTTTCTCCCCTCCACGAACATCTTACAGGTTGCAGCATGATGATTGGCATAAAACTATAATCAACTTTTAAGCAACTTTTAACTTGGGATAACTTCAAAACGTTGAGTCTGTTCCTCAGTAGCATCTATTTTGCATGACCTTCTTTTACTACCGGATTTTTTTTTTTAACAAATAGGACGTATCCTAGGCAAATCTGCCCCGTCAGAAATCAGGTACTTGGGGCCAGGTGTGTAGCCAGGATGGAATGCAAATACACTTGAGAGAATTTTGGGAAGTGCTAGAAATTTTCTAGAACTGGATTGTAGTTATGGCTGCACAGTTGTATACGTTTACTAAAAAGTCATTGAAACATACATACACTTCCAGTGGGTGGATTTAAATTATCTTCAATAAAGCTGTTAATTAAAAAACAAAACAAAAACCTCAGACTCCTTCCTTTGGTTCTCCACTATAGAATGGTGGCTGCTCCCAGTAGTGAATACCTCTGTGGTAACTCAGTGCCCTCTTGTCTTTTCAATTTCCCAATACCTGGTTAACAATTTCCTTAAATTCTGTCAGGAGAAAATACATATACTAAATAAATTATACAAAGTACAAGAGTAAATGGCTAACATTTATTGACAGTTAAGTGCTAAGCACTGGGCCAAGCTCCCTATATACTTGATCTTATTTGCTTGCCACTCACAAACACTATAATGACAGTGGTTACAAGTATAATTCCTACTTCAGGGATGATGAGAAAAGAGGCACAGAGAGGGTTAGAAATCTTCTCAAAGTAAAAATTAAATGACGGAGTAGATGCCAGTTGAGGTCTGTTTCTAGAACCTAACTTCCTAACCATGGCTGTAACCCCAGCCTGGAGCTTGTGATCTATGTGGCCCTGTGAGATCAAGAATTTTGGCCTGTGATGTCACAAAGGGTCAAGAAAATGGTGGGTTCCTTAACTACACCTTCAAACTGATGCTTCCCTAAGCTTTGGATGGGTATCTGTCAGTACCTGCACCCCACCTTGGTGCTCCTGGAAGCCATCCCGACATTTACCAGGCATGTCTCCTTAGGCTCTTCTTGGCTGTGACAGTTTCTCAGACTTCTTTTGTCTGTTTGTTGTTTTGTTTTGTTTTCTTTGTTCCTCACCTGAGGATACTTTTTCACTGATTTTTAGGTAGAGTGGGAGGGAGGAAAAAAAAGAGAGAGAGAGAGAGAAAGAGAGAGAGGGGAACATCAATGTGAGAGAGGTGCATCAATTACTTGCCTCTAGCATGACCCCAACCAGGGTGAAGATCGAACTTGCAACCAGGTACATACCCTTGACTGGAATCAAACCTACAACTCTTTGGTGTGCGGTCTGACACTCTAACCACTGAGCCAAACAAGCCAGGACCTTTTTTTGTTTTTGATGACTTTGAGGAGCACTGGTTGTCATTTTATAGGATGTCCCTCAACTGGGATGTCTCTGATGCTTTTCTTATGATTAGACTGGTGCTATAGGTTTTGGGGAGGAAGACCACAAAGGTAAAATGCCATCAGATCATATTTTGGTGGGGTGGGGGGTTGTTTTCTTGGTCTGTAATGAGAGACACACTCTGCCTCACAATAAGACTATAATGGTGGGATTTTCACAAAAATAGGAAGGAACTTCATTTGCTAGGCAGCTGACTGATGTTTTAAAAGGTTTTTTTAGCTTTTGTGCGAAGAATAGACAAAATGAGCCAGGGCAAAAATAGATCAGTTAGAAAGCATTTTAATAATCCAGGCAAGAAATGATGATGGCATGAATCAAAATAGTAGTAATGGAGCTTGGTGAGATTCTTGATATATTTTGAAGGAAGAGCTCATAGAATTTGTAGATGGACTAGACATAGGTTGTGATGGGGAAAAAAGAATCAAGCATGACTTAAAAGTGTTTGGACCAAGCAAACAGAAGAATAGAGTTTGCATTTACCTAAATGGAGCAGCACGTGGGAGAAGTTAAGAATATTGTTTCTCCAAATCATCAGATCATAGTAAAAAGGTACAAGTTATCAACATAAATAGTCACTGTTGATGTTAATCTTGGCCATGTGGCTTAGGCAGTATAGAAGTTATTCTTTTCCCCCGTTTCCCAAGTGTGCTCTGTGAAAGGAGGTCTTATGCACAGCCCATGCCTCAGGAGTGAAGAGTTATGCTCTACTTCCTTCAGGGCAGGTTTTCCACACAAGCTATTTGAAATTCTTCACAGATTTGTCTTTTCTGGATCATTTATTAAATCATTTATATCAATGTAGACTTATGAATACTTATTTTATACTTTGGGTTATAATCCAATACCACTTTATTTGTTACTCAGATTGTTCCTACTTTAGCTACGTTGTTCCCTTGGCATAACTCCCATTTTCCATTTATTTTTAATTTTTTTCCTTTATTGATTTTAGAGAGAGAGGAAGTGAGAGGGAGAGATGCATAGAAACATCAATAAGAGAGATTGGCTGCCTCCTGCATGCCCCCCAGTGGGGATCGGGCCCACAACCTGGGCATGTGTCCTGACCGGGAATGGAACTGGTGACCTCTTGGTGCATGGGTCGACGCTCAACCACCGAGCTACACCAGCTGGACCCGTTTATTTTTAGACAGTGTGGAAGGGAGGGAGGGAGGGAGAGAGAGAAACATCAATGTGAGAGACACACATTGATTGGCTGCCTCCCGCAGGACCCAACCAGGGTGGGGGATCGAACCAGCAACCCAGGTATGTGCCCTTGACTGGACTCAAACCCACGACTTTTATCTGAGGGCTGACGCTCTAACCACTTAGCAAACCTGCCAGTTGTTTTACTGAGTACTTCCTTACTTTCTGGCACAAGATATTCTAGACCTAGAAACAGCCAGTTCTTCAAGGATCCCTGGTTCCTTTCATTGGAAAATGGTATAGGAAATCAATAACTGGGCACTAGGTGTGCTTGCTGCCAATGAAATGTTGCTGCTTCTAGGCTCTCTCAGCTGACAGAGCAAGGGAAAATATGTATCAATGAATACTAACCCTTCTGTATGCACATATCTATGAATATTTATGCATGTATATTGTATGTATATGTGTAATAACATATATACAGCCATCTATCTGTTTCAAGGTGTAAGCTAAATGTATGCATACTGGTGTCTTACAACTCTTAATGCATTACCACCGGGTTCCTGGATCATTCTAGTCATTGTCCCCTGGCTACCTGTAACCTTCCACTCTGAGTGAGGAACCTGGCTCTCGCCGTCGGCCGCCCATTTACTTGGCTATCATTCCCAGTATACATGTGTAGTGGCTTCATAATTGTTAACCCACACACCTGTGGGAAACAACTTGAACAACTAGAGTAGACTGCTTATGTGCAGGTCTTTTGCCTTTACCTTACAGAGTTCACTCAATTCCAGAGTTACTTAGGTCAGCACCCTTTCCCCCACCCCCTTCGGAGAGATTGTTTCATAAGGTTAGATTCTTTGGTCAAAGTCTGCGTTCTATCTGGGATCCCTTGACCTCATAAATGACTTTTTAAAAATTATGTACGTTAAAGTTCACTCTTTTCAATGTAAAGTTTTATGAGTTTGGGCAAATGCAGAGTGTCACGTATTACTATCATAGAGAATACAGTCGTCCCTCGTTTATCGCGGTTAATCCGTTCCGGACTCTAGGGTTGCACCTGGCGTTGAAGGATTCCTGGGGTGCTCGAATACATAGGCCTACACTCCATACGTACAGTGATTTTAATTTTAACTGTAATACAGGGGTGTATAACTGACAACTGAGCGCACGCTGTATCATTTTCACTGTCTCGATCAACTTTTATTTATTTTTTATTTTCACCTGAGGACATTTTTCCATTTTTTGTTCAGATAGAGTGGGAGGGAGAGAGAGAAAGAGAAAGAGAGAGAGAAACATCGACATGAGAGGGACACATCGAGTAGCTGCCACCCGCACAACCCAACCAGGACTAGGGACAAACTGCAACCGAGGTACGCGCCCTTAGGGGGAACTGAACCCGGGTCTCTCCAGACTGCAGGCCGACGCTCTAACCACTGAGCCAAACTGGCCAGGGCTCGATCAACTTTTTAATGAATATATTTGAACAAATCGCAATAGAGTGAAGCCGCGAAAGTCGAAGTGCAAAGTGGCGAGGGACGACTGTAGTTTCAAAGCCCTGAAAAAATCCCTGATGCTTCACCTATTCAACCTGACCCCCACCCCACTCCCACATCTTGCTTGTTTTACTTAACAGTATATCCTGGAGATCACTCATAGCAACGTATACATACATTCCTCCTTCCTCTTTACAGTGTATATTACTCCACTGTGCTGATGTCCCATTGTTTCTTCAACCAGTCCCTTACTGATAGACAGTTTGGTTCTTTCCAGTCTTTCACTATCGCAAATAGTCCTACTGTGAATTGGTAGGTACCATTTTTGAGTACCTATTATATGCTTTTTCTATATTATCTTACTTAGTCCTCACTATCCCCCTGCAAAATACCCTCATTTACCTAGGAGGAACCTGAGACTACTGGGTTGCCTAAGATCTCCTTACCATGAGCTTCTTAAGGGTTATGTCTTGTTTTCTATTATATTCCTGACAGTTTTAATGAATGAATGAATGTAACTCAACTAGGAGATGGCAGTGCAGGGAACTAAAGCCAGGGCGGTGCTGTCTAGCCTCACAGGCAGCACCATTACAATCTAGCAGTGGTCTCTAGGCTGGGATGGCCCT